ACACCATCACTACAACACAAAGACAATCAATACTATAACAAACATCATCACTACAACGCAACCATCATCAACAACAACAACACTATGATTATCACTGCAACACAAACATCACTATAACACAAAACAACATCACTATAGTACAAACATCATCACTACAACACAGCCATCATCAACACAACACTCTGATACTGCAACACAACAATACTATAACACAAACATCATCACCAAAACACAAACAACATCAATTATAATACAAACATCATCACTACAACAGCCATCACCAACACAACACTATGATTGTCACTACAACACAAACATCATCACTATAACATAAACACCATCACTACAACACAAACATAATCACTATAACAAACATCATCACTACAACACAACCATCATGAACACAACACTATGATTATCACTGCAACACAAACATCACTATAACACAAACATCATCACTATAACACAAACAACATCACTATAGTACAAACATCATCACTACAACACAGCCATCATCAACACAACACTATGATTATCACTGCAACACAAATATCACTATAAAACAAACATCATCACTATAACACAAACATCATCACTGCAACACAAACATCACTATAACACAAACATCATCACTATAACACAAACATCATCACTATAATACAAACATCATCACTATAACACAAACATCATCACTACAAAACAAACAACATCACTATAATAACCATCATTATTACAACACGACACAATTCTCATCAAATGCCTCTTACTACATAAATTACGATTTTCCCAGAGGAGAGGATGGCTGCTGGTGTCTGAGTAAATTCTGCATGACAAAATGCAAGAACAACGAACCCAAAGACGTTGCATTGAGACAAAAGGATTCCTGGAATTCGTTAACCAGAAACTACAAATCACTGGATGTAAAACCGATGTGATACTGCGTGATGATCTCTATCACAAGTATAAGATGTATTGTAAATGCCGAGGTCTAATGCCAGCTACCATTGTTAATGTTGGGCGAACACTGGCAAAAAAGGGTGTGAAGTCCCCCTCCCGTATCGGCGGGATAAACGGTAAGGGCCAGAAGTACGGATATACGGGAATCGTCTTCCAACCTTGTATGGAAGTCGTGCCATGGCACCCATATTCTGCCGTTTACAACATGCACTCTGATAGTGTCATTAGTGGAAAACGAAAATTAGAAGAGCAAGATCAGAACGAACCAAAAAGAGCCAAAATTACTGGTAAAATAATAGATCCAATTTCAACCTTTTTGGAAAGCTTCGTCTCCACTTCGCTCGACCATAAAGAACTGGTCCGTCAAAATGACTTATTTAACGAATACAGAGAATACTGCCGCCAAAATGGTCTAGAAAGATATAACAACATTAAGTTGGGGAGACTCATGACTGCTCGAGGTTTTAAACCCACCGTGAGAGTTGGCAAACCAAACAGCCAACAATACTGTTACCCAGGCCTTAAATGGACTCGTGAAGCACCCAGTGGCAACAACTACACTAATCTTAAACAACAGCGCTGTCACCCGGTCTGCCCAGACCGGGTCATATCAGAAACCAAACGATATCTCTTGATTTGCCTAGCAATCCAGTTTGTCAACCAGGATTGATTTTTGTGAACCAGCCGCCGCAGCACCTGTAGGGTCAATTTATTTTTGACTGAAATAAAAATTAATATTATTTATTATATAGCTTAATTTTCCTCTTCTATTTTTTTTTTTTACGGGGATTAGCCCACCCGGGCACAGGTCACTAACCCACATCGGGGCCTGGGGGGCAACAATTTAATAATAATAATAATAATAATAATAATAATAATAATAATAATAATAATAATAATAATAATAATAATAATAATAATAATAATAATAATAATAATAATAATAATAATAATAATAATAATTTAGATAAGTAAAATTAAAAAATACAAAAATACAAATAATGAAATGATTATATCAATAATAATAATAACACTGCAAATATAAAATAAAGAACCATAAAGAAATAAACAAATATGAGAAACAATATATGTATGTTGTGTTGTCAATGTTAAGAGACCAAGTTTATAATTCTATTCACCCATCCCAGTCTCTACCTTCCCCTGGCTCTCCTCCCATCAACTTTGTCCACTAATATTTCTGTTATTATCCCCTCATTCCTAATTATATGACCACAAGTATCTTTCTTTTTTTTCTCAGTGTATTTCAAGTATTTCTCTTGAAGTTTTTGCTTATCTTGGTATTTCTTGATTTGTTTTCCTGTCAGTATATTCTTAGCATATGCTTGTAACACCACATTTCAAAGGCCTCACTACAACACAAACATCACCATTATAACATAAACACCATCACTACAACACAAACATAATCACTATAACAAACATCATCACTACAACGCAACCATCATCAACACAACACTATGATTATCACTGCAACACAAACATCACTATAACACAAACATCATTACTATAACACAAACAACATCACTATAGTACAAACATCATCACTACAACACAGCCATCATCAACACAACACTATGATTATCACTGCAATACAAATATCACTATAACACAAACATCATCACTAAAACACAAACAACATCACTATAATACAAACATCATCACTACAACACAGCCATCATCAACACAACACTATGATTATCACTGCAACACAAACATCACTATAACACAAACATCATCACTATAACACAGACATCATCACTATGATACAAACACCACTACAACACAAACATATCTATAGCACAAACATCATCACTACAACACAAACATCACCACTATAACATATACACCATCACTACAACACAAACATAATAACTATAACAAACATCATCACTGCAACACAACCATCATGAACACAACACTATGATTATCACTGCAACACAAACATCACTATAACACAAACATCATCACTATAACACAAACAACATCACTATAGTACAAACATCATCACTACAACACAGCCATCATCAACACAACACTATGATTATCACTGCAACACAAATATCACTATAACACAAACAAAATCACTATAACACAAACATCATCACTATAACACAAACAACATCACTATAATACAAACATCATCACTATAATACAAACATCATCACTACAACACAGCCATCATCAACACAACACTATGATTATCACTGCAACACAAACATCACTATAACACAAACATCATCACTATAACACAAACATCATTACTATAACACAAACATCATCACTATAACACAAACATCATCACTACAAAACAAACAACATCACTATAATAACCATCATTATTACAACACGACACAATTCTCATCAAATGCCTCTTACTACATAAATTACGATTTATCTAGAGGAGAGGATGGCTGCTGGTGTCTGAGTAAATTCTGCATGACAAAATGCAAGAACAACGAACCCAAAGACGTTGCATTGAGACAAAAGGATTCCTGGAATTCGTTAACCAGAAACTACAAATCACTGGGTGTAAAACCGATGTGATACTGCGTGATGATCTCTATCACAAGTATAAGATGTATTGTAAATGCCGAGGTCTAATGCCAGCTACTATTGTTAATGTTGGGCGAACACTGGCAAAAAAGGGTGTGAAGTCCCCCTCCCGTATCGGCGGGATAAACGGAAAGGGCCAGAAGTATGGATATACGGGAATCGTCTTCCAACCTTGTATGGAAGTCGTGCCATGGCACCCATATTCTGCCGTATACAGCATGCACTCTGATAGTGTCATTAGTAGAAAACGAAAATTAGAAGAGCAAGATCAGAACGAACCAAAAAGAGCCAAAATTACTGGTGAAATAATAGATCCAATTTCAACCTTTTTGGAAAGCTTCGTCTCCACTTCGCTCGACCATAAAGAACTGGTCCGTCAAAATGACTTATTTAACGAATACAGATAATACTGTCGCCAAAATGGTCTAGAAGGATATAACAACATTAAGTTGGGGAGACTCATGACTGCTCGAGGTTTTAAACCCACCGTGAGAGTTGGCTAGCCAAACAGCCAACAATACTGCTACCCAGGCCTTAAATGGACACGTGAAGCACCCAGTGGCAACAACTACACTAACCTTAAACAACAGCGCTGTCACCCGGTCTGCCCAGACCGGGTCATATCAGAAGCCAAACGATATCTCTTGATTTGCCTAGCAATCCAGTTTGTCAA